CCAGCTTTGGGCTCGATGAAGACCCAGTGGCACCTGATGACGGTACCTTACTTGGCACTGGCAAGTCACCAAGCCCGGTGACATCTGACGAAGCAGTGGACTTTAATCCGTCCAAGAAGTGGTGGATATCCGCAGCCCCCTGATGCCCCTCGTAAGAACGACTTTCTAGCATACCGGCCTCACGGATTATGGCATCTGAGAACTGAGGAGACCCCCGGTAAGGTCAATCGCCCAAGCACATATTTCGGAGCACTTTCCTCCGTTCGAGGAGTATCAGCCCCGGTCTTCCTCTCAACCACCTAGCTTGGGACGGGGTGGCCTCACCTTCTTCTGGTTTGGGAGTTTCGGCTAAGACTCCCTCACCGACCTCCTCATGTAGGGACGGTCCGATTTCGGCATTCGCTGGTTCAGAGGACTCTTGTATCACAACACCTATCCGCACACGGGCCACCAACTAGGATTTCTCTTCTTCCTCTTCCTCTTCTTCTTCGGACTCGTCCCTTAATCAGTGGATTGGGTCCGAGGATAGAGCGTCGGGCTCCCCTTGGGCTTGCGCGACCTCTTCTCCGGTTTCTTCTTTTTCGAGTCGGGGGAACTCGGGGCCCTTTTTCTCTTCTTTTCATCACCCTACCTCGGAGCATGGAACTCGAAAGTCACATCCTCATCATCAGATGGAGGCCTCATGGCAACATCTTTGGGAAGACCTATAAAAGAAAACATAACCGATAAGAATTCGACTGCACGAGGAGGGAATTAAACATTACTACATCAAAAGAGAAAACTTACCATGATTACGGGCCTCCCATCGACCCTTCGATAGTTCCATCCAAGCACGCTCGGAATATGGTCTCTGTGACACAAGGCCCTCGACCCATTCCTTGAGTTCAGGAACTACGTACGACACCTGGGCCACAGCTGCAACACAAAAAACATCGATAAGGAAGGAGATAAGAGGTAAAACACAAGATTGAACCTTCAAGTCGAGTACTACTTACGTTTCATGTTCCATTTCTCGGGAAATGGCATGTCTTCGGCAGGAAATAGGTCTGAAGTCTTTATTCGAACAAATCAGCTCATCCAACCTCGGTCCTCAGCCTCGTCTATACTCGAGAACAGGGCCCTACTGGCCCGGCGAGCAAGCTTGATCAGCCCCCTTCGATAGAGTCGGGGACTGTAGAGGCGCAAAGGCGATCGAAGGTAAAGGGACATCCCTTGATTTTGCTTACGAAGAATCGCAGGAGAATTACTATTCTCCAGAAGGAAGGGTGGATCTGGCCAAGAGTCACGTCGTACCTCTTGCAGAAGGCAGTGATAATAGGGTCTAAGGGACCCAACATGAAGGGATAAGTGTAAACACTTAGAAAACCCTCAACGTGGGTAGTGACCGATTCCTCGGGCGAAGTTACCACAACATGCTTATTGACCCAGTTGCTTAACCTTGGTGAGGAGATCATCGGTAATTGTGCATATGTACATCGAGATCGGCTCACATCAATCTGGTACTGAGGAGGTCTTTTCAATCTTAAAATCGGCAACAGTAGGGCACCTTGCCCGAATGAATTCCTCAGGGTGAGGTTCCGCCGCAGCCCCATCGCCGGCGGGTCGTGATGAAGAGGCGGCCTTCTTTGCGGTAAGTCATAGAATTTTTCACCATTGTAGAACAGAAGAAAAGGAAATTAAGATGGTATGCGGTTTGCTAAAAGTTCAAGAAATTTAGGTCCAAGAGTTGCAAAGCAAAGGGATTTTAAAAAAAACAAGAATAAGAGGAGTTTTGAATGTAAAGTTTGAATAAAGGAAGGTTAGAGTACTTATAGCTTGTCGGTGACGGTTCAAAACCCATAGTGGCCGACCAGCAACTGACAGACATTTAATGCCTTGGTAACTGGACCGACAGGACGTTTCGGTATCCATTTGTTGCTTACGTCATGTCGGGTGTCTCAGTGACCATTCGTTTCTTACGTCATGGCCCATCGAGACGGGATCGTTTCTCGTCATCTTCTCTCCGAGAAATGAGGGGACTATCTGTATACGGTCAAAACTGGCTCGCCCCTTGTATGACTAATCGAGACTGGAATATGATAGGTTCTTGTATGACTAATCGAGACTGGAATATGATAGGTTAAGGTTCGACCTCGTATTATATCGAACCATGGTGCAAAATTAGATCGTCGAGCTCGTGACCCAGAGACCGATCAAGATCGAGATCGAGCAAGATCGAGGGAAACTTACCGAGCCAAATAACGGAAAGCTGAAATATCCGCAATCGGTCGAGGATCACGGCAGAAATCCCGACACGTATCAAGAAGAGGCCGATTAATTAGCTAATCATGAGATTTCTTACCTCATATATAGAACTGTATCAAGAGTAGGACTCCCCTACTATATAAAAGGGGTCTGATCATTTGTAAAACACATCATATTTACGCAACATAAAGCAATATACTGTCATTTTCTAGCTTTTATTATCTTGTTACTCTGCTCATTAGAAACATCTTTGGTTCAAGGGTGATTGAACTCGAGGGCCAAGGCTATTCAATTCGCGTGGTTTGCATTTATTTTTTTATCGTCAATTTCAATATTAATCTCTTCTCTTAATGTGTATCAAGTTATATCACATGTCCTTAAAACCGCGTATAAATTCAATTGTTATCCGATTTTAGGGCAAACACTTTAGTTTTTGAACTTTATGGTAAAAGCTACTAATATACTCGATATTTGTATAGATTACATATTCTTATCAGTTTTGTGTCTTATTCAAATATTGGAACAAAAGAAGGTGCACGCACATGCAATGCTTGTGGTATATTAGATTTTTCCCGTTGAGATGGTCTATTATGATTGGACATACAGTTTTATGATGATTAAGGACTTTAAATGAAAATTTATGTTTTGCAGCTTCTACGTATGACTATTTCCCGTTGAGTAATTTGAAAAGCTAGGCGTTTTTAAATATTAAAATTTTTATATTAATTAATGTTATCTTCAATCATTATGAAATCTTAAAAATTCGAAAATGCATTTATTAAAGAAGATTCTCGCAAAAAATATTGATCAACCTTGTTTGTGAGCTATATGACAGGAAATGCAATTTGAATAGTTTACAATGAACAATTTATCTATGGACCCGAAACCTTATAATTAATTATTGTGCATTATTGCTTGTGAGTCAATTTAACATGGTTATCTTATTGGCCTTGAGTCAATTTAAGACCAAGATCCTACGTAGGCGTTTGGACATAAAATTGTAAAATTCTAAAGAATGGTGAAAAAAATTTTCAAGTGAAAATAGTATTTGAAATATAGAGTTAAAATTTAGAGTTGTGTTTGGACATAAAATTCAATTTGGGTCGATTTTGAAGTTTTGTGAGTGATTTGAGTGGAAATTTTGAAAAACAGTTTTTGGAGTTTTTCAAATTTTCGAAAATTTTCAAAATGCATCTTCAAGTGAAAATTGGAAATTTTATGAACAAATGCTGATTTCGAAAAAAATTAAATTTTTTTTTGAAAAAAAGGTATTTTTTTATGTCCAAACGGGCTCTTAGTGTCTATAAGGGACCACCCCATTAAAATTTGATAAATATGTTAATCTTGTTGAAGGGGAGTTATCAGTTATGGAGTGGCAGTAAGTTATATCCGTATGACCTAAAAGTTACGAGTTCGAACCATGAAAGCAACTATCAATATTTGCGTTAGCATAACTTGTCTACATCACAACTTTAGGGGTGCTGACCATTTTTTGAATCCCGCATGAATGCGGGAATGTTTTATGAGTTGCACTATTCTTCTTTTAAAATGTATGCTAACCTTCGTTCATGCATCTGCTTATTGATGCACCAACAGACAGGATCGCCAATTATGCGGTATCATATCAACCCACACCATTGCTACATGTTACAAAGAGTTAATTACCTTCTTCCTTTCTATTTACGCAAACATTGGTTCTTACTTTTATTACCGTAATTCGTTTGGTGCATGGGATAAGAACAATAATCACGAGATAAAATTTAGAATTAATTTTATCTTATATTTGTTTTGGTATAAGCTAATCCCGTAACAACTTTTACATTAGAGTGATGAGATTAGTTATTTCATATATCTCGAGATATCCCACCATTACACCAAACGACCCTAAAGGAACAGAGGACACTGTTTCCGTGAATGAATGACACTTGGAATGATTGGATTGTTCGATAAATGAGAAGAGTAAGCGAGGAAGGCCAAATTTTTAGAGTTTATTACTACTTTTAAAATTTAAAAAGGTCTCTGCTTTATATAATTTGCTATTAAATCATCATAATGATAAAAAGACTACTAAATCATTTAAGTTCATAAGATTATCAGCGATCTCATTTTTCAAACAGTTATAAACTTTTCAAAAGGCGCCTCAGAAATTTCATCTTAAATATTTCCAAAAAGTGATCCTTACCAAATTTCACAAGATTAAGACGATATATAAAACAAAATTAATTCTTCTGAACATATTTCAATTACCAAAAATTATAACGTGATGGGTAGAATCCCTAAATAAAAAATTATGTAAAAAATGCTTCCTCTTTCACAGGCTGAATTCGAAGGAAATTTAAAAACAAGTAAAAGGAAAAAGAAGAAAATGTGATTGTGAAAGTTCAAGGCTCGAGGTCAAAAAGTCATAAATCATAATGCATAGCTGCATCCAATTGCGTAGACACACGATACACATGTGAGATCCTTTCTTTTGTTATGTTTCACTTTCAACCCAAGGAGCATTGGAACAATAAAAAAATTATTTTTTTGTGACTTTTAAATTACGGATTCTAACCGTGAATAATTATATTTAGGTAAAATTACCTTTTATTATTCTTTGAGATGTGATATTTTTCTAAATTTGTAATACAAAATGCTTCATGTATCAAACTGTTTTTTTTTTACTAGGCACGCCTACTTGCAGCTTTTAGGTAGTCCACACGGCACGCACTTTTGACTCTTGTTCAAGTTTTACCCCCCTGAAATCAGATATAACAACCATTTCCTAAAACGTAATTTAATCTTTAACACTTTCCTGGCCCTAACAAATTGCCTAAACTTGGAACAAAATCCGAACTAATTCTAATTTGAGGTCCGCTTTCTCACCCGCAATGCAGTTTCTTCACCCGAAAAAGACGAAGACAAAAGGACAGTGGAAAAAATAGCAATTCACCACAAGTGGATATAGTTAGCTTTTTTCCTTCTTTTTGGCTAGTGGTGGATGGGTCAATCAGCTTCCACCGTCGCCGGAGCTCAAAACCGTATCAAATTCAGATCTTCGTCGCCAGTTTATTCCATGAAGAATAGCGACGATTCCGACGATGTTGTTGTTGATGTATTCGAAGCCGGAGATTTGGATTATACTAATTATATTCCTGATGAGTGTTTAGCTTGCATTTTCCAGTCTCTTAGCTCAGGTGACCGGAAAAGTTGTTCCCTCGTCTGCCGCCGTTGGCTCCGCGTCGAAGGTCAGAGCCGTCACCGTCTCTCTCTCAACGCGCAATCGGACCTTGTGACGGTGGTTCCTTTGATTTTTTCACGGTTCGATTCGGTCACGAAACTCGCTTTGAAATGTGACCGTAGATCTACGAGTATAGGTGACGAGGCGTTGGTGCTTATCTCGTTACGGTGCCGGAACCTAACTCGTTTGAAGCTCCGATCGTGCCGTGAGCTTACTGATGCTGGAATGGAAGCTTTCGCGAAGAATTGCAAGGGTTTGAAGAAGCTATCTTGTGGATCGTGTGCTTTTGGAGCTAAAGGCATGAACGCCGTGTTGAATAACTGCTCGGCGCTGGAAGAGTTGTCGGTAAAGCGCCTACGTGGCATCACAGATGGCGCGGCGGCTGAGCCGATTGGTCCTGGTGTTGCAGGAGGTTCTCTAAGAGTTGTATGCCTTAAGGAACTGTATAATGGACAGTGTTTTGGACCGTTAATTATTGGATCGAAGAATTTGCGGACGCTTAAGCTATTCCGGTGTTCTGGAGATTGGGATAAGCTTCTGGAAGTGATTGCTGAACAAATCAGCTGTGGACTAGTTGAAGTTCATCTTGAGAGGCTTCAGGTAAGTGACACTGGTCTTGCTGCTATTTCTAAATGTTTAAATCTTGAAATTCTGCACCTTGTGAAAACGCCTGAATGTACTAATATTGGTTTAAAGACTGTTGCTGAAAACTGTAAGCTTTTAAGAAAGCTTCATATTGATGGATGGAAGACTAACAGGATAAGTGATGAAGGGTTAATTGCTGTGGCAAAGCATTGCCCCAACTTACAAGAGTTGGTTTTAATCGGTGTGAACCCGACATGTGCTAGTTTGGAGAAGCTGGCTACGAATTGCTTGAATTTAGAGAGATTGGCTTTGTGTGGAAGTGAAACTGTTGGGGATCCTGAACTGTCATGCATAGCTGCAAAATGTAATGCTTTGAGAAAACTCTGTATAAAGAGTTGCCCAGTATCCGATCAGGGTATGGAAGCGCTTGCTGGCGGATGTCCGAATTTGGTAAAAGTAAAGGTTAAGAAGTGTAGATTGGTGACTTCTGAAAGTGCAGACTGGTTGAGGACCACTAGGGGTTCTGTGGCCGTGAACTTGGATGCAACTGAACCTGAAAATCCCGATGCAAGCGCCAGTGATGGTGGTGTCCCTGAAGTTGGGAATGAAAATAGGCAGGTGGCCGCCCAAGTAGGTGGTGCAAATATTGCGTCAAGCAGTACCGGGAGGTCCAATTCCTTCAAGGCAAGGCTAGGACTTACAACGGGAAGACATCTGGTGGCTTGCACATTCAGAAGGTGGTCAAGCTTTGGTGGGAGTTCCAGTTCCAGAAATACTTAGAAAAAGGAGCTGACCGAGATCAATGTTATGTTCAAATATTCTGCTATTGGAGTTATTTGGCTCTTATTACATTTATATATTCTTGAGTTCGCGTGCTGGTTAATGCAACAACCGGTTCAGCCTTTATGGTTGCACCTTGTCCTTGAGTTTCCTCTTTTCCCTCATGTACTAGTGATGCTCTTTTTGGGCTTATATGCTTCTTTTACGTGGAGTTCTTATAACTTCTACTGGGAGAGGACTGAACATGCTATCTTCTGAAAAAGAAAGGAAGGAAAAGGTTATAATCCAAAAGTTGGTGATTTTTTAATGTGTTTTGTGGTTTGTGCTTTGCGGAGTTTTCAGTATAAATATGCTCCATACCAAAGATTCAATAATGTGAACACATATTCCTGACATATCAAATGCATTTGAACAGGAAACTGAAAAACAAATGCAGTAGAAGAGACATACTATTGCTTTCTCTTATACACTATGATAAACGCATTAAGCTAATAGGAAGTCAAGATTTTGATTCACTCCTATGTTATTGATGACGTGATATCATGGGAAGATTTAAAGCCTGAACTCAGGATCAACTTCATTAAACACCTCTTATGAAAATTCAGTAGTCTTACAGCTTGTTTGTTCCACAGCTTATACCTAATTAACGTTGTACTTTTTTATATTATATTGTGCTTCATTTATTCACCACTCAAATCATGTGGGTTTGGGGCGTGCCCTTAGCAGGAATTGTTCTTTTATTTTTGGTGAATGAGGGGAAGTTTGCAATAGTGTGATTCACCTGGTAAATGAAGCACAATGGTGAAAAGTCAGGCTTGAATAGTCAAAGCTGCTTCCTAACTGAAAAAGGAAGAGTGTTTCAAGGCCTTGGTATGCTACAATAAATTTTAAAATGCAGTATAGCCTGTTTGTCGGAATGATCTTTCTTTATCATCCTCTCAATGTACCCTATTTGACTTGTGATGACACTTGGGAAACATGTTGAGAACTAGAATATATATTAACTCTGCTATTAGATCAAGATATTGTTTAAGCCAAGGTTTCAACTCTAGATGTTGGGTAAAGAAATAGTTTCAGTAGATTCTCTGGTTCTTTTTGGGTGTTGAGATGTACTTCTGACTCCTTAGAAGCTCTTTACTTTGCATAGACACAATGACACAGCGCTAAGTTAAACTCTGGGTTTGGGGCTAAGAAATAGTGAGTTCGCGTGATACCATGTTGGCTTTTGATTAGTTCTGTTCTAGTTAAGAAAATTTTGGTGACTTCATGTAATTGGAATCCTTCATAAGAATGGAGATCATGGATGGTTTGTGTAGTGATTATTCATACCAGTTCCTCTACTGCTGTCCTTGAAGACCATAATTCAGTCATACGCTTCTTGCGGGCATTGTCTACAATCATTTAGCTAAATCAAAATGAGTATATCAGCTAACTTTATCAGAAAAGGGTGATTGAAGCTAATTTAGAGGGAAAACAACATTTTTTTTGTTCTTCTGCATGCTTTTTTTTATTGGCTTCTTGACCAGCTTCTGTCCTTTAGTCTGGTTTCACGATGAGCTATTTCTTCAGCTTAGTTATGGCTTGTGTCGCTTTCACTAGAGTTTCCTATTAAAAAAGTTATATTAAAGCAACTGAAAACCCTTTGGATTTGGTTCATTAAGCTGCAGCATCACTGATTAGTTCATATTGTGATGGGAGAATGTTACTCTTCGAAAGTAGGTGCGACAATCAATTAAAAGTTGCTGATCTAACTAATTGACCGCCTCATAATTATGATATTGTGAACCGTATTTTGCTGTTTTCTTCATGCTTTGGTTGATAGCAGGTATTGGATGTTATCTTCCACCGCTACAGTGTTTTTGGGTCTTTACCGTATATAGCAGTAATATTCTGCCTGTTTGAGATGCATCTTCAGATTCTGTTATCATTGTTGGTCTAACAGGCAAAGCCTTGTTGGTCATTCGATTACTGAAACTATTGGTCTGAGTGCTATTACTTATAGTTAATTTATCACCAATACTGTTAGAACTTCGGCTATGCTGCATGATTGGTAATTACATGCACGTTTAGGGTTGTGGAGAATTATCCTTTCTTCAGTTATTGAAAATTTAACTGATATATATCTCCTTTTTTTTTAAACAATGGGGTCATTAGGTTTTCTCCACCACTAAATCCAAGTCAGTGAACATTCCTTATGACTTATTCATGTGTGTTCTCATGGTTGATTTTTTATGACTTGAGAACTCACTCTTATGAGACACTGGATTTAGTTAGTTGATTTGGTGGTTAAACCACTGAATTTGCTTGTGTTTCGGAAGGATTTTTTGCTTCCTCTCTATCTTGCTTGATGTCAAAATATTATTGTTGTTTTAAGACTATTACTGTCTTGCACCAGTGGTCAAAATAACTGCAGTGGTTGGTAGTTTTCTTGGGTATGTCTTGATTTCTGTTATGCATTCTCAACGACAATCTGTTTTTAAAATCTAGACTATGTATAGGATAAGCTTTCTGTTATAGGTTTTAAACCTGAAGTAATAGTTGTACCTTAAAGAATATTTTGTTTCTTTTGCTTTACCCAAGGACTCGATAGCATCACATCATATGTAAATGGTGTTTTAGTGATTGGTTTGTAAGCTTTTGCTTGCTTGATTCTGGTTTTATTAATGTATAAGATGTTAGATTTAAGCTTTGAAATTGACCAACTGTCATCACCTGTGGTTGATTAAGGGGAAAAAAACTGGAAACAAGAAACCTGTCCTCCTCCTCCCCCCCACCCCCCCCCCCCAAACCCCCCAAAGGTTTCTGCTTCTAGAATGTCTGCAAATATTGTTGTTGTTTGTTTGATATTTCGTACCTTTGCTTTGTTCATCAAACTCTTCCTTATCCATTGTATACTGTCAATCAATTTTCTTCAAGTAGATTATTATTGAATCTGTTGACAATATTTTGCATTAAGCTGCATCCATAGTGTGTGTTGATCTTAAATGTAATGTCAGAAGCCTATATGTTTTGTTCGAGTCCGAACCAAGTGCTACAGTTTGGTCTGCTGATCTTTAAGAATGTTTGCTCTAGCCCTACCCATGCGACCCTGTGGTCCATAAAGTGGGTGAAAATTATGGGAGACCAAGGTTCACATCTTGGTAAGACAAAATGTTAAGCAATTTCTTTTCATCTATCTTAGATTTAGTGGGCAAAGTCACCATGTATTGATGGTAAATAGATGGTATAGTTGCAGCGTGCTCAAGTTAGCATGAATATCACCGTTATTTAAAAACAAAAAGAATATTTGCTCTAGCTCTCAAAATCCAAACGTGAGAAAAAACGGCTTATATATTACTGCATTGTTGTTTCCGGGCTTCAAACTACCGGTAGCAGTTTATTCTTGTACTCTGAGGATTTGTGCTGGTTGCTATTTGCAAAATAGTAAGATCAGAAAGTTTCTCAGCGTGTCATCATACTTTGTACCAAAATCACGAATAAGTGAAACTCATAAATAAATAGTATACAGTATTCTTGCTGCCCCCACTCCCCAATAATGAATGACCTTTACAAGGCAATTTTTCCTTTCACGCTGCTGTCAAATTCAACCATTTCCCCAGCTTGAATCTCGTTCAATCCATAACCGCGAGTAGGAAGTGGTATTAGTACAATAGATTCAAAAAGAAAACTATAGTGGCTAGAAAAGCTTCGGAGATCTTATGGGAAATTAAAAAGTTGAAGTAAGTTGTGGCTTATAAATAGAAAGATGAGGAGATAAGGGGCGAGAGCTGGTTTCAAAAAGCCACTCTGCTAAGCTTGCTTAAAAAGTTATTCACCGGCGGGTAATCAAAATGAATCCAGTTACTGGGATTTGATACTTCTATCTCTAAATTGTGTTACGCTTGACGATGTTATTTTATTATAAGTATTGGTATGTATTTATATGACGACTTGACTAGTCGAATGAACACTTGCGACAGGAATATGAGCTCCATATTTGAATTGAGATTTCCGATCCGCTGATTGGTTTAGCAATTTATCCGTCCATCTTCTGATGCAACGTGCTACTCAGTATTTGGTGCGATTTTGGATATAGTTTCAAGTTTAGAACAATCCCTGAGTTACAGCAATTGATAATCATACTCATATTTCCTTTATGATTTCAAATCGATTGATCGTTACATTTGGTTCTTTTAGGCATTTCGACAAATAGGTTCTGCCTTTAACCACGAAAACGAATTTGAAAGTTATCTCCAGATTCCAAACGACAGAGAGGATGAAGAAGGAGGTTTGCTGTTGTTTGCGAGGTCGAGTGGTAGAATTCCTGATTCAATCAGCACAGGAGCTTCAAGTTTCACCCATCGTCAAATACTCGGCACTCTCACTTTTCGCCGATCGATTCTACCCATCTCTAAGTTCCAGACAAGGAAATAACGACGCTGCTAAAACCTGGCTCCTACAGCCGCCTCTCAGAGAAAGCAATTTGCAGCTATTTGCTCTCGCTGCACTATGGATCTCAACCAAAATACACGATTCTCCTCCACTTCACGTCAAATGTTTCAAGTCTTTAGCCGACAACACCATTACAGAGCAGCATTTTACAACAAAGGATTTTCTAGAAGCTGAGTTAGTGCTAATGCAGGTTTTGAAATTTGAGATTGGTATGTTAAGAAGCATTGCCTTCAGATTCTTAGAAGATCTAAATACCAAATTGAGGGAAGTTGCTAGAGTTGGAGAACAATTAAATATTGAAGCTTGTATGGATATTATGGACTTACTCTATGAAAAGGGGGAGATTTCATCTTTTAATACTTCTCCCCGTCATCTCGCCGCGTCTATAATGGTTGCTGCATATTTGATCACAGTTCCAGTACAGAAGAGTGAATTCCCCATTCTTCTATGGGTTAAGTTTGTCACGTCGTGCAACGAGGAGGATATTCTGGATACTGTTAGAAGCATTCTAATGCATGTGTTTGAAGCTTGAACGTTGAATCTGTAATTGTGAAGAGGTCGATGATATATTTTCACAGAGCTGATCTTTACCAAAGGCCTCTATATATGTAATGGGACAAAAAGAAATTTTCATACCAAAGTGTTTTTTCGGTATTTTTCATGTAACAATTCAAATACTCAAGAAGACTAGCCTTGAAGTTTAATTTGGACATGGATCAATCTATATTTTGAACTAAGCAAATCTATGACAGATTCTCAGGGGAATCACATGTATAAATGAACTACTCTATTCATGACTCATGTATAGTTGACAACTAAAAATTCAAGAGGACTAGTTTTGAAGTAAATTTGCGAAACACCCTAAATTTTGAACTAGGCAAATCGATGTCAGATACTTTAGTAGATGACATGGGCAAATGAAGGACAGTATTCATGCTCGAGTATCCTTGCATTGAGCTCCATGGTGCCGGAGAAAGAAGTAGCAAAGCCATTCCCAGCATACCAAGCTGAAACTTCTAATCTGTCTTCTTCCCTTTCTTAGGTGCTGGTGCTGGTGCTGGATACAAGAGAATTTGACTCAAGATGGTACCATTCATCAGTATACCAATCACAGATCCCATGACAACTGCAAACAAAATCAAACTCGGAGTTAAAAGGGCAGGATTGATCAAGTTACAATTTTATCATATGTCCCCGAAGAGACAGAATTGATCAAATTACAAAGATTATATAATGATAGGATGTGAATTGGCACCATTACAGAGGATAGAAAATGAGGCTTTTCTTGTTAACTTTAGAATCCTATCAGCTAGAAAATCCTTCTTCCAAAAGAATAGCATTTCATATATCTTAGAAGTGAGAACACCAGTTTAAGTATATTTAAGTGTGTAAGGATTCAGCTAGCAAATGGACACGTCTCCTCAACTATGTATGTCCAAAATCTTTCACATCAGCTCATATCAACTAAGAAAATTCCTCTTTTAGTATTTTGAAATTTCTTAGTATTTTCAACTACCTGCACTATTAAAGGTTATTCTTTATATCGCATTCAAGTAATTTGTTCACTCCAGTTCTAATTCCCAAGGTTGCATGTATACTTCCAAATAAATGCTATAAAACAACCATGAAGGTCACAAAAAGATTTAGTTCTTCTCCATCTGCACCTCCAAACACCATAACTACAGAAAGGAATAAAGCGTGAGTGATATTGATCTAAAAAAATATCCCATACAAGCTCATCTAGTGTTTTCAATTAAATTTTCTTTTCTCTCCCCTAAAACATCTTAACGATACTTGATTTGGACAAACTGAGCCGATGTCACATTCCACTCTAGCAGAAGAGAATTGTTAACATAGTAATTAGCAATGATGGTGATACAGCAGAACCATTTAGTATATCAATCATTGTTATGCGCATTTGAAAAATTAGATTATATTGCAAAATAAGAACGCATCAGTTTTATCATTCTGGAAATAAATTACGCCACAGTGGTTCCATATCCAGCGAGCACTTTGCATAATTGAGGTTTAGATAAAAGAAAATCAGAGCATACCACTCATTGGAGCTTTCTCTTGTAGGCTGGTAAACACTCTAACTGCCATATAGAGAGGAAAAGAGCGGGTGAGAACTTCAATATTTTGTAAGTGCAACCAGAAGTTCAATGGTCAACTTACCCATGGAACCACCAAAGTTCATAAAAAAGGTTAAAAAGCTTAGCTCCCCAGTACTTCTGTTCTGCTCAAACAACATTAAGGATAAAAAAGAATTATTAAATCAAGTAGCTGGCAGAAAAGAATGACTTTGCAAAAATGTAACTGCACGTGCAGTGATTCTTGTCGAACATCATTGGATAAATAAATCTAAGAATTCAATCAGGTATGAAACTTCATGTGTACTTGCATGGACGGTCAATGATTTTATCTCACTTATTTATCATCTGCTTTAAAAGCATTCACATAAGAGCTCCCTCCCTCTCATTACAATTCCATCACATTTGGCATGATTTCCATTGACAGAGTAGAAAATATTCAAGCAATATAGTGCAGAGCAAGGAAACTGCATGTTACAACATATACTTATTAAACACAGTATGTTTCAGTATGGATCAAGTTTCAGATAATTAACATCCCAAAAGAGTTGACATGTTACATACACAATGACAAGTCGTCAAACCATAAGCGAAAAGCTTAATGCTACCAGAAGCGAAAAGTTTATAGGTAAAACGGCATCACATTATTAGAAACACTCCATATGCAAGTCAAATCTGCAAAAGTACCATCTGTTATCTCCGCTCTCAACATCACAGCAATATTAAAATGAGAACCATCATCACACGAATAAGTACCTTAAAATTCTTCCAGATCTGTGGAATCCTTGCAAAAAGAAAAATTGCATGCTGAGAGGCCTGCAAAAAATTATTTCAAGACAAGAATGAGCCGTGGTATACTCTTTCTGTGGAATCCACTTATGAAAGAGATCTATATCTTTGGAGCATTGTAGTCTACCAAAACAAAAAATTACTAATTGAGGGTAGGAGAGCAAAAATATTTTACAGACGGGAATTATAAATCACCACTTACATATAAGGCCTCAAAAAGGATTGGATCAATTTGACCTGCCAAAAGAGTTGGAGCTACAGCAAAATATCTGTTTATTTAAATAGGAGGAACAACAGATTCTAATTTCATCTGAAGGAGCACCTAAAATTAACAAAAAAGAGTAGTCTAAATGGCTAATTTATACGGAACACTTTTTACGAATTCAAAGGTGGGGGAGGTAGGATACAGTAATGCTCTAATCCATGTCTTTGTTCCCAAAGGCTGAGAAAAATAATAGATGATCGCAACCAAAATGATAGCTGCAACAAGTAAAAAAGCACAAGATGATCTTGCAGTCTTGCAGACCTAAAATAAATAAATAAAAGTATCTCCTTCAACATCATCAATTCAACACGGTTTGAGCCTATTACCCATCAGCAAAATATTTCCACACTTGACTCAACAAAAAGAAGAATCAAACCCGCAAATGAGGGGTGCTTTGCAAAATTAAAGTATATTTCACTAACAATTTGAACTTATAGACGAGACACGTTACACAATTTAAGAAAACATAAGAAACTAAGAAATTGAGATATTGAAGTGCAATGAAATGAAGGTGATTTACTCTATCGACAAAGGAGTGAATAACCAAACTACCATATCATATCATTTGCCATGATGAACTCAAAAAAGGTAAATTGGGGTAAATAGGTACAATCTAGATATTCGTTCAAACGCTTAAGAAAAATCATGGTATGATGATGACATGGGTTGAGCTTAAATGAAGCAATAGGCGACCCCAACTTGTTTGGGATTGAGGCCTAGACTTGCTGTTGCTTAACAAAAACCATGCTACTACAAGCATCTTTTATTCCAATCTCGGAAAACAAATGTCCAGCTGCTGTCTCGGATCATCAGCCATTTGGCTTGTCCAGAACTGCTTAAAGGAATTGAATTGGTTGTTCAATGAAGAAGAACCAGTGAAAAAGATGCATGGTTAGCTAAAACAACCACTACACTTCTGCACCCAAACCGGTTGAATGTTGGTCAATGAAAAGGAAGAATAGAAACAGATGCATGGTTAGCTAAAACAACCACAACCAAACAGTTCTGCACTCAAACCAGTAGGACTCCAATGCAAATTTGAGAAGCTGCATCTAGGGATGGCATTGGGGCGGTGTGGGTTTGAGCTTATGTGGGTGCGGGGCGGTTTGATTTTAAAAAAAATTCTTGCGGGTTGCGGGGCGGTTGCGGGTCTTCACTCTCAAACATCAATTTATTAACTGTTAATGTATTCTCTCGGACACATATGATCACTACAATTGACATAAAGAAAGCACAGATGATAAAGATATGGAGTAAGCTTCTTCATAATATGAGACAGCAAAAGAAAGCAACAAACTACCTGTATATTATAGTTTTTTCCTTCTTTATCTTTTCGAATTGCTTTTCTCGTTCTCAAAATAATTACAGCATATTAGACAAACAGAAATGTCTAGCATGAAAATTCAACAACTATCCTTCTTCTTGTAATTTAATTATAATACACAGTATTAAATTTGTAACAAACATTTTCTTTTGACTTCGACACCACCCATCAAATAAGAAAATTATTTTGTTTATAATATGTGACGGCAGTGGCTCACTATGGATTAAGCAAGCTTTTTCAGGCATAACAGCTGCAATTATTAAGTAAAACCACCTAGGTTAGGCATAAAAAATTGCAGCAAAAAAAAAAAAAGGAATCTAGGCGGGGCGGGTGGATGCGGGTATGAGCGCGGGTCGGGTTGATGCGGATGGAAATGCGATGTGGGGCGGGGCGGGTTAAAATTTTGCGGGTTAAGACACAACCCGCACCGCCCGCACCGCACCGCTTGCCATCCCTAGCTGCATCCCCACGCCTTCTCAACATATCAGAATAGAATACTAAATGAATTCCGAAAGCAAGATGCATATGTTGTACATACCTTGAATCAAAAGAAAAACATACTCTCCAAAAGCTGAAAATGGAAGTCCTTTGTGAAGGCAATATGCTAAAGCAATGGTATAACCAGTTACTTCTAGCTCAAAGCTCACAACACTAAGCCCTCTAACACTTTTGTGCTGCAAAATTTTTAATATCTGCAAGAGGAAGAGAAGGGATATGTGATACACTTAGTCCAATCTGTGAATCGCTATAGCCAATAGACGTGCAAATTAAGACAGTAATGACAGCCTAAACAACTTAGCTTACCAACCCATAACCCTATGTTAAATCTTTGTAGTTCCTAAATTTGGGAAAAACAAGATCCCAAAAATTTCGTTGTCTTTCACCTGAAATGTACAACAAGATCACAGAAGCAGCACCGGACGACTCACCTACATAATCTTTAACCTAAAAATATATAAATATTACTTCCCCTATCCTAATTTATAGGGCACCCTTTCCATTTTGTATGTCTTACATTTGATACTATTCCATTTCTATACCGCTTTTACAACTTTTAATAATTCAAATATTCAGATTTTTCTTTATCTGATTACTTTTCAGTTATCACCTTAATATTTTCCTTCAATATTTCCAAGTCAGATTAACATCATAAAATCTGAGCCCACATGAATACCTTGCATAAAAATGGGACAGTGATTAAGTATCAGCTGTTAAGCTAGATGAGATTCAAGATATAGAAAACTTAAAGTGGGTGGAAATTAAATATCATAAATTGTAAGTCTCTAAAGTAGGACACGATAAAATGTAAAAAAAAAAAAAAAAAAAAGAAAAAAAAAGACTGGATTTTTAAGGAAAATACCTGAGGAAGTTTAACAGTGGTGGAGGCAGCAACAATGGCGTAGCCCAGGAGCTTGGATATTAAGGGAAGCAAACAATCTTTTTCTGGAAAATCACCTTTGCTAAGGGATCCCATTACACAACCAAAATCCATACCAAGAAATTTGAGCTCTACCATCTTGATGATTTCAACACAATTCTTTAGGTTTGTATATAGTCGAAGGATAAATCCTTAAAAACGGTGAGCTGATTTTTGAATTTTCTGATTAACGTAGGTTGTCTTCTTAAATGTCGACTTTTTTGCTAAAAACTTCCAGCCATGTTGCTTTTAACGGATCGTTAGTACATGCAATTTGTGTGAGTCGCATTCAGCGAAGATATGTAGGTCACGGCTTAGAATGGAAAATATATACAATACTCTTTAAAGGCTGTCACACTCTATTATTAGTGTCTTCAATAAAGTGATTTAAATATATATTTTTCCGTTTTTCTCTCATATTTCCCCTTTCTCTCCACATACGGCAATTCCCAAACGTGTTGGATACATGGAGTCGACTCTATGTCCCTTCCATTCTATCCAGCCCCCTATCGTTCCAATAATAAATAATCGATTCATCATAAATTAGCTATTTTTATATAGAGCAACCCTCATCCCTTATCCAGATTTGAACCAGAATCTACTATTCATACACCACAATCAGTTCCAGTCTTGAAAGTATCATCCCAAACTGAAGCATAATCAGGAATAGTTCTCGCACACAATTGCCACTAACAAAATAGCATCAATATGCAAGCTAGTAGAAACCAAAAAGACTAACACAATTAATCAGGACAAAAACCAAGAGGTAAAAAGACATTTGTGCTAACAACAATAGAAATGTTAAATATTATTTGGTTTGATTAATAGGAGGTGAGGTGATACAACTACAATATCATACAACTTAAATAATATTTTTATATAAATTTTATACAATATGTCTTTTGTATATTTTGTATCTAATTTATACATAGTAGAAACAAATTTCATACAACTAATTATATATTATGCAACTTATCTACAACTTTCATACATTATTTCTACCCAAATATATACAACTACAATATCATACCACTTAAATATAATTTTTATACAATATGTCTTTTGTATATTTTATATCCGATTTATCCATAGTAAAAATAAATTTCATACAACTAATTATATATTATACAACTTATCTATAATTTTTCATACATTATTTCTACCCAGTTATATACAACTACAATATCATACAACTTAAATATAATTTTTATACAATATTATTCGACTTTCATACAATACTTAAATAAATAAAAATATATAAACAACATAATTCAATTTTACTACAATTTCGTAAGTATAATGTATGTCATGTCTTTTTCTTCGAGTTTCAATATGAAATTCAGCCAAAATCAAGTCTAATCTTCACCAGAACACCCTCAAAATTGAGATATAAACTCCAAACCATATTCCCAATTGTTTGCAACAACACTCAATCCAAACAAATAATGATTTTTGAAAATTCAAATTCGAATTCAAAGCTTCAAAGCTTTTTAACGGCTGTCAATGATGGAATTGATGCTGTCATGACCCAAATTCCATTATAGGTCGTGATGGCGCTCAACACCGTTGATAGGCAAGCCAACACTAATCAACTAGTGAGTTCTCATTTATTTTATTAAACAATCCCAACATTTACTTAACTTGAATTTAAAACAGTCGATAAATAACGAATTTATAAAGCAACTGAAACGGGAATGACTAAAGGAAATCCTAATTTTAGGAATACAACCCAAAAATAATAGTATACTAATGTGTGTGCCAGAATCTAGTGTCACAAGTACGAGGGCAACTAGTAGAATGTAGAAAAGTATAACTATCCTACTGCCTGAAATGGAATAGACAGTAATAAACAAAAGGAGAGACGCCGGTGTGCTATTGAACGATTCAAAAGGGGCAGCTCACCGTGAAATCTCGATCAAGTATGAGGAATGCGCGCCGGCGAGTAGCTAGATGCACCTGCCTTAGATCTTGTACAATTAAGTACAGAAGCGTAGTATGAGTACATAAACAATATGTACCCAGTAAGTATCCAGTCTAACCTCGAAGAAGTAGTGACGAAGGGTCGACTTGACACTTACTAGGGTCAATAATAATATAATTTAAGTGTTACGCTAAGCATGAATAGCATGAATAATAATGACAGTTTAAGAACAGGAAGAATTAAGATATTATTTCATAAACAACATGTCAATTTCAGTCATATTATGTAACAACTTACATTTTAAAGCATTTAAGCAGTGTAAATCACGAGAAGTTCCAAATAAATAACATGCGCACATTGTGCCGAGGTCGTACGGCCCGGTCCAATATAATATTAAACTGTGCACTGCCAGAGGGTCGAATGGAGCGAACCATAGATGCATCTATTTAATACCGAGGCGCTCGGCCCGATCCACAAATAATAATTTATTTTCAAGGAAGCACACATTTCCCATTTACAGTAAAGTAATTCATACAAATTCTTAAGTAAGTGAGTATAGCCGTCTATATTTGTTTTACCAGTTTCCAGCATGACTTAAGTGATCTTAGTAGCAAGTTAGGACGCAAGCATTGCAAGTATAGCATGATACGGGTCCTAAACTACCGGAACAATTAGCATAATAGTAGCTACGTACAGACTCTCGTCACCACGTACGTACGTAGCCCCCACAGATAGTTACATACATTTATTTAATTCACCTAGGGGGTTAACTCCCTCTTACAAGGTTAGAAAGGAGACTTACCTTGCCCCAAAGCTTACTTCCAAATTCAAGAATGCGCTCAAACCCTCAAATCGAAGTCGTACTATCCAAAACTATTCAAATGGGGTAAGAACTAGTCAATATATGCTCAAGAGTTCATATTCTAACTATTAAAGTAATTTCCCAACCCTGAATGCAAGGTTCCTAAAATCATCCCCGGGCCCATGTGCCCGAATCCCGGATATTTTCGAAAAAAGTTGTTACCATAATCTTAGGATCAAGAATATATGATTTCTACTTCATTCCATAACAAATTTCGTGGTTAAATCTCATGTTTATCAAAAACCTAGGTTTTACTCTAAACCCATAATTTCCACGAATTTACATGTTGTAATCTACCCATAAACTATGTATTAAACTCACATTAAGTAGAAATTACTTACCTCACAAAGCTAGGTTAAAATCTCCTCTTTTGAAGCTCCCAAATAGCCCAAGAATGGAGTGAAATGAGTCAAAAATGACAAACTCCCGTATTAAATGAAGGCCACTGCCTTCAGCGATTTCTGCACCTGCGGTGCGTCGATCGCATCTGCGGTCTCGCTTCTGCGGGCGATTGTCCGCTTCTGCAGAAATGGGCCGGGCTAGCTGGGGCTGCACCTGCGGATTGACCGCTCCTGCGGTTCCGCTTCTGCGGAATAGGAGCCGCATTTGCGGAACCTGGGCTCCTCCCCTTGGGCCACATCTGCGATGCTTCAGCCGCATCTGCGGGCTCGCACCTGCGGCTGGCCAACCGCAGGTGCGGTTATGACAGCAACTGGACCTTCAGCTCATTCTCAAATTTTCAACTTAGCTGGGGCCTCGTGTCCGATTGACGCTCAGGGCCCTTGGGGCCCCGCCCGAGCATACCGACAAGTTTGGAATCATAAAACAGACTCGCTCGAACCCTCAGAATGCCCGAAACAACATTAAAACTAAGAATCACACCCTAAAACCAATTGAATCAAACTTATGAACTTCAAGTTCTTCAATCTACTTCCAATGTGCCAAAACGTACTTATACTACTCGGAATGATACCAAATTTTGCGTACAAGTCTTAAATGACATTATGTAACTATTCTCGGTCTCGAATTTTTGTATGGACCTCGATATCACAAAAACCCGCTCAAAACCAAATTTAAAGAACTTCAAAACCCTTAAAGAATTAACTTTCACTATTAGGCTTCAAAACGCTCCCGGGTCATCCAAAACCCGATCCGGACATACGCCCAAGTCCGAAATCATCATACGAACCTGTTGGAACCTTCAAATCTCGATTCCGAGGTCGTTTACTTAAAATGTTGACCAAAGTCAAACTTGACCCTTTAAGCCAACCTTAAGGAACCAAGTGTTCCGATTTCAACCCAAACTCTTCCAAATCCGAACCAACCATCCCCGCAAGTCATAAATTAGTAAAAGCAATTACAGGAAGTCTTATTTAGGGGAATGGGGTTCTAGAAAGCAAAACGACCAGTCGGCTCGTTACATTTTCCACCTCTTAAACAAACGTTCGTCCTCGAACGGGTTTAGATTCATACCTGAAGTGCTAAATAAGTGTGGATATCTGCTCCGCATGTCCTCCTCGGACTCCCAGGTCGCCTCCTCGACTGGTTGGACCATCCACTGAACCTTTACCGCGGAAATCCTCTTGGATCTCAACTGGCGATCCTGTCTATCAACAATAGCAATTGGCTCCTCCTCATAACCCAAGCTCTCATCTAGTTGGATAGTGCTGAAGTCTAACACATGTGACAAGTCGGCGTGGTACCTCTGGAGCATAGACACGTGAAAAACCGGATGAACTCCCGATAGGCTGGGGGGTAAAGCAAGCTCATAAGCAACCTCCCCAACTCACCTCAATACCTCGAATGGGCCTATAAACCTGGGGCTCAACTTGCCTTTCCTTCTGAATCTCATAATACCCTTCATTGGCGAGACTTTCAAGAGAACCTTCTCGTCGACCATGAATGATACATCCCGCGCCTTCGGATCCGCGTAACTCTTCTGTTTGGATTGTGCTGTGCGAAGTCGCTCCTGGATCAACTTTACCTTTTCCAAGGCATCTTTCGCCAAATATGTACCATATAACTTAGCCTCACCAGGCTCAAACCACCCGATAGGAGAACGACATCACCGACCATACAAAGCCTCAAATGGAGCCATCTCGATGCTGGACCGATAACTGTTGTTGTAAGCAAACTCGGCCAAAGGCAAGAACTGATCCCACTGCCCTCCAAAGTCAATCACACATGCTCTAAGCATGTCCTCCAAAATCTGAACTGTCCGTTCTGATTGCATGTCGGTTTGTGGATGAAATGTTATGCTGAGCTCCACACGGGTCCTCAATTCACTCTGTACGACTCTCTAGAAATGGGAAGTGAACTGAGGGCCTCTATCTGATATGATGGAAACAGGCACACCGTGCAACCGAACTATCTCCTGAATATAAATCTAGGCCAACCTCTCTGAAGTATACGTAGTCACAACCGGAATGAAGTGTGCCGACTTGGTCAACTTGTGGACAATGACCCAAACTGCATCAAATTTCCGCAAGGTCCGCGGCAACCCAACTACGAAGTCCATAGT